ACCTGTCTCTTATACACATCTAGATGTGTATAAGAGACAGGCGATAGGTAGTGGCAGCTAGCGCTGCCATAGCTGTAGCCTAGCATGTGTGGTGTGTGAAGTATGATACTGAGTGTTGCGTGTGGGACATCCAGGGTGATCCAGAGTGCGAACAGTGAGTTGTGTGGGCGCCCAGTCGCCATAGCCAGTTGAAGAGAACTCATATCTGGTTACGATATCTTGAGTATTGTGTGGGCGCATGTCGCCAGTTGCTGTTTCGCTGTTTGCATACGTGACAAGTTGAATAATCAGAAGTGTGATTGCACTTGTTGGTTGACAGGCCCCGCAGGGCCGGTACTTACCTGTGGCCCTGACTTTGAGGGTTGCAGCGGGGAAAAACACTCAAGTAGCGGGGGGGGTAGGCCCGCGACACTTAGAGCAGTGGGCGAAACACTAAAGTAGCGGGTAGGCAGGTACTGGAGGCCGAGCAGAAGAAGACAAAGTTGGCATTTTTAGAGGCCCTGTAGCGGTAGGCTAGAGGTAGGCCGGTACCAGTCCAAGTAGCCCGGGTCTAGGGCCTGTGCGGATGCTAGCAGAGCCTGCAATGATGTTTCCCTCCGAAAGGGAGGAGGTACCGGTTGCTGGGAGGTCGCTCGGCCTAGGAAGTCTCCGCCCAGGAGGCCAGTAGGCCGCTATATCTCCAGGAAGAGCAAAGAGCTCTTCCTCATTTGTGGTGTGCAAGGATTGGCGACATGCTGGTGGAGCGCTAGCGCTGGACTGGTACAGCGCTGCCTGGAGGTGAAGGCAGCTGGGCGCTCAGCCTGGCTATGACGAGCAGCCCAGCTTGAGGAGGAGGAAGAAGCGGGCTGAGGAAGAGAGTGGCGAGGTACATACCTGGCTATGGTGGTCACCATCTTAATCACCTGGAGTGGCTCTGCCTCTGGAAGGCCCCGGTTGGGGTAGTGTCACACCAAGGAAGCTCGAGGCAGAGTCAGGCATGGCGGCCGAGTGAGCAGCGGCATAGCTGCTTTATGTTGTCCTCTGCACAGAAGGGGGAGCAGTGGCACAGCTGCTTTGTGTTGTCCTTTGCACAGGAGGAGAGCAGCGGCATAGCTGCTTTGCGTTGTCCTTTGCACAAGAGGGCAGAGCCCTTAGTAGTCCGCCATAGCCTAGGCTTACGAGAGGAGAGAGAAGAGAGGGAAGCCATGGCTATGGTGGTCCTATGATGATGTCAGCAGTAAGAGGGAACTTCGGATATTGATTCTCGTTCATCCATTCATTGTTATTAATATTGTTGAGAGAAGAATAAGATTGGCGAAGTGAAGGAGGAGGAGGAAGGTGGAGAGAGAAGGGGGAATTGTCATTGGTCTTGCTGGTGTACTTCTTCTTCTTCTTCTTCTTCTTCTTCTTCTTCTCCTCCTCCTCCTCCTCCTCCTCCTCCTCCTCCTCCTCCTTCTTCTTCTTCTTCTTCTTCTTCTTCTTCTTCTTATTATTATTTCTTTTTTCTTTGGTCTCTATCTCTTTGCAAGTGCTTTCATTTCTTCGCAATTGGGTGACATTGTCTTTCATTGTGAATTTGCACTTCGGAAATGACCAGGATCGTAACAATTGGTATCGGAGCGGACTTACTTGCTGGCGAGAGGTGTTAGTCACCCTAACCCTAATTCTGAATTAGGTTAGGGCTAACCTAATCTCGGATTAGGGTTGGATGTTAGGGTTAAGTGGGGCAGTGGGGTATATGGATACTGCCCCCACCTGGTTAGGTCATGTGGGGTCGGCATTAGACCTGACCAGGTTGTATGAGTGAGTGAATGGAGTGGCGAGACACAAAGGAGGCTGATTGGAGTAAGCGAGAGGGAGTAGACAGTGAGAGGTACTCGCACCTGGAATCTGCACTTCAAGAAGACATTGTGTGACTTTTGGGCWTCCCCTCAAGAGGGAGACTTGATCGGAGGCTGCCATATCTGCATCGAAGAGCTGCAAGTTGCTACTTTGGTCTTCAGACATCGACGGGGGATCCAACGTTGTAATAAGGGTGTAGGAAGGCCCTCTTAGTCATGCTAGGACACTTCGTGTAGTGGTAGCTAGGGGTCAGGAGGACCTATGAGAGAGGGGGGTGACTCGTTAATCATCTTTGGAGGCCGGGCGTTGAAGGTAAGTGTCGTGCGACTTGGGTATGCCCACGGGTGGTTGCTTGGTACTTCCTGGCCTGCCGGGGTTGTGACTGGGCTCTTTTCCTCTTCTCTGCGGTCTTGGTTGTGTGTGTGAGCTTGTGGATTGCTTTCTCACCTGATGGATGGATGGATGATGTACCTTGTTCTCAATGACATATCTTTCTACAGTGCATTGTCTTTTCACTTCTGAACGGTTGTAGGGATGAGTTCTTGCTGAAAGTTGTCTTTTCCTTTTCAGTACAGGAGAGGCAGTTAGGGTCTGACTTGGTACACTATCTCGCTCGTTCTGGTCCACGACCTACTTGGGACCCTTCGGGACTCAGTGGGACCAGGCCCAATGGGACAGGACCTGCAGGACCCAAATCTGTTGCTGACAATGCATTTCTTTGCTGCGCTGAAACTGGGGCGACAAACGGACAGTAAGGGCATTCCTTTCAAGGGGATCTTGACTGGTCTTACTGCATGTTCTCACATACTGCCCCGCGTCTGACTTGGCGACCGTCTGCACACCTCGAAATCTCCATTGCTTCAGTTAGTTGCCTTTCGTCTGACTCATCTATGGTGCATGTTCTGTATTGGATTGGACAAGAGGGGATCTCCAGCTGATCTGACCGGACCTATTCGTTGAGTCAGACCTCTTTTGAATTCTATCTGTTGTTTAATTATTCTGTTGCGTGAATGTCATTCTCTGCGTCCAAATGAATTGCCACTCTGGCTAGGAGTTCTTCCTTCTGTTCTACGATTCATTTCTTTTTCCTTCTATCTAAACCATATATGTCCGGTATTGAGACGCTTGCGCATAAAGCAAAGCGAGAGAGAAGGGAGGGTGAAGGTGTTCTTTTTGAGAGTGTGAGGAGGGGCAAGAGGAGTGTTCGTCCAAACGTGAGGAGAGAGCGGACCCCTCTTGAGAGATCTACTGACACCCCATCCTCCAGCATGGCAGAGATTTCATTTGCCCAATGGCAGGCCATGCTAGACGCAGCAAACGAGAACGAGAAACCGTTCTTTCAAAAACTTTATGACGATGCCGTACAGAGGGAGAAGGAGGCAGAGGCAGCAGCCAGAGCCGCAAATGTTGCGGAACAAGTGGCCCTCCTTGAGGTGTCGGAATTGAACGATGACCGGTTCAAAGAGAAGCTGGCTGCTGCCGTTGCAGCCTTGGTTCGTCTGCGAACCTTTGAAGATGTAGAGTCCCACGTGACAACCCTTGAGCAGCGGAACCAAGAGCTGCAGGCTGAGATAGACAGCCTCAAACAGTCCCGACTATCTGCCCCCCGTCCTCCTAATCCTCGTCCTGCTGCAGTCCCAACCTTTCCCTCTAACACAGTCCTCGTGCAAAGGTCGTATGGAGTTGTGATTAGTACAGGAACCGGTGCTAACTCTTCAAGCAGCAGCCCCGACAGTTCTGCACTGGTCCCAGTTCCAAATACAGAAACTTCAGCCCCAAATACCACAGTTCGTACCGGTGTGCCAGCAGCAGCTCAGACTGTTGCTTCTCTTTCTTCTGGTCCTGCGGCAGTAGCTACACCATCGCCGCAACAGCTAGTTATTCCACCACAGGGACAGCAGCAAGGTCCTTCGTACCCAAAGACCCCGATGAAACCTCCCGTGGCATTTTCAGGGGAGAAGAAGGACGAGGAACTCAACACATGGTTGAGGACAGTCCCAATCTGGGTCAAGGCAAAAAGGACTTTGCCGGAGGTGGACGTGATCATTGCTGCATCTTACCTAGAGGGTAAGGCAGCCAAATGGCTAGACGGTGTTATAGCAAAAGCCGGGTATGGACACCGCATGGCGGACTGGGCTAACACCCTGACATTAGAAGAGTTCGTGGACATGGTAGAAACTCGCTGGCATAATCCGCAGCAGGCACAGATTGCCACTGACGTAATGCTCAGACTAGACCAACGACGGTATAAGTCCGTCCGTGAGCTTACGACTACCGTGGAAAACCTTATTGTCGTGCCCAATATTCGCTATGATAATCAGGTCTTATTGACCATGTTCTTGAGATGTCTTCCAGAGAATCTCAGAACACAGTTGGCCAGCGAGGCACGCCTCGAGTATCACACGTTTGAGTCCTTCTCTAGAAAGGCCCTATACTTAGAGGCTACTCTAGGAAGTGCTCAGCCTACTCCAGTAGACGGGAGGAAGAAGAAGAGTTCACAGGAGTGGAAGAAGAAAGGGAGCTGACTGATGATGGTTGAGTCCGATGGGACTCAAACCGAGGTTGACGACCTTTCTGACCTGTTGGACAACACAGAGTTTGAAGGCGAGGATTTCGCTGAGGGTAGCACCCTCGCCTCAGTAGCCAAGGATAAGGCGGGTGACCGAGGGAAGGGTCGCCAAAAGAGTCAAGGGCAAACCGCCTCTAATCAGTCTAAAGTTGCTGATTGGGTAAGGGCTGGTTTAGATCAGGATGTGTGGCGGGACCGACGAGTGCGTGGTGTTTGCATCAACTATGGTGAGTATGGTCACACCCGGTACAAGTGCAAGAACGTCAAGGTCACGTAGAAGATACCCCCTAAGGGAGGAGTGTCTTCTTCCCAGGCTTCTAGCTCGGGACACACGTGAGGCCGGTGGAGGTTTTAGCTGCCTCTGCTCATGGTGAAGTGGGACAGATACCCTCCCCACTTCATGAGATGGCCATAGCTAATGACTCTTTAGTCACCCTGCAGACGCATCTAGACCAAAATGTACTTTGTACATTAGATGTGTCTGAGGCCTTAGAAGATTTGGAAAGCGAGTGGTCAAACAAGGACCCTCGCGAATCTTGGGTGGCACTAAGTAAAGGTCCTAGAGGGAAACACTTCGTTGTGGAAGTCGTTGTAGGAGGCTGCGGATGTGGTGCCTTCGTAGACATTGGCTCCACACGGAACTACATAAGTCGTGACTGTTTGGAAAGACTCTGCCTACAAGACCGGGTACAACACCTGAGTAGACCGGTAGCATCTACTTTGGCCAACAAGGAGTGCATAGTAGTCAAGGACTATGTCAAGGACGTAGTCTGCACCTTCTCCTATGTAGAAGGGGAACTTAATCATAGGATTTCGTTCCTGGTTAGTGACGAGTTGCCGTTTGACATGCTTTTAGGAATGTACTACCTTGAGGTTGCTAAGCCCCAGTTTGACTGGGACAAGAAAGTGTTAAAGCATGCGTTGCATGATGGGAGAACCGTTAGACTAGCTAAGTGGAAGGCTAGCAGGTTGATTGAGTCCTATGGGTGCCTGTGTGCCACAGCATTCCACAATTATTATAAACAAAACCAAGAGGAGGGTATGTACCTAGTCTATGTCTCTGAGAAAGGGGAGGTCATTAAAACACTCCCAGAGATAAAGAGAATCGTCGCTAAGTTCCCTGATCTGTTCGAAGAACCTACAGGAGTCGTAGAAAGGGAGATAGTCCATGTCATAGAAATCATTCCACGGAGTAAAACCCCAAAGGGAAGGATCTATAGGATGACTCCGACCAAGTTGGACGAGCTTCGGCGACAACTGAAAGAGTTAACAGAGAAGGGTTGGATACGGCCTAGCTCTTCCCCCTTCGGATCTCCAGTGCTATTTGTATCAAAGAAGCGAGGAACCTTAAGGATGTGCATTGATTATAGAGGCCTCAATGCCATCACGGTGAAGAACGCAGAGCCTCTACCTCGCATAGACGACCTATTGGATAGGGTGCAGGGATGTAAGTACTATAGCAAGATAGACTTAAAATTCGGCTACCATTAGATTGCCATAAGACCTGAGGACCAGCACAAAACCACATTTCAGACCAGGTACGGTCTGTACGAGTTTGTGGTGATGCCCTTTGGCCTTTGCAATGCGTCGGGTACATTCCAACACGCCATGAATAGGATCTTTCATGACTACTTAGATAAGTTTGTCGTCGTGTACCTTGACGATATTCTTATCTTCAGTAAGTCTGTCGAAGAGCATGCACAACATGTTGAGACTGTAATCTCACTCTTGCGACAACACAAGTATAAGGTCAACCTAGAGAAATGTGAGTTCGGACGCACTAGGATCTTATACTTGGGTCATGAGGTATTCGCGGAGGGTATTAGGCCGAAAGATGCGAAGGTGGCTAGTGTCAGGGACTGACCACGACCTCAGACAGTCACTGAGGTCAGATCTTTCTTAGGGATGTGCGGTTACTATAGGAACTTTGTAAAAAATTATTCTACGATCGCCTCTCCTTCGACTGATGTAACTCGACTTGACACCCCGTGAGATTGGAGTGATGAGTGTGAGGCTGCTTTCAAACGATTGAAGTACGCACTCATGAATCACAAAGTTCTCATGGTTCCCGATCCTCAGAAGCCATTCATAGTGACCACTGACGCAAGCCAGTATGGTATTGGCGCAGTGCTGGCTCAGCAGGATGGGAAAAAATTGAGACCGATCGAGTATATGAGCAAAAAGATGTCATCTAAGAAGCTGGCAAAGTCTACCTACGAGAGGGAACTCTACGCTTTGTACAAGTCATTGATTCACTAGAGGCACTTTCTGTTGAGCAGATTCTTCTATTTGAGGACTGACCATCAGGCGCTGAAGTGGATAAAGACTCAACCTGTTCTCTCCGATGCCCTCAAGTGATGGATAGAAGTCATAGAACAATATGACATTAAGATCGATTACTTGAAGGGGGAGTACAACAAGGTTGCTGACGCACTCTCGCGTAGAGCAGATTATCTCGGGGCTTTAGTCACGGACTTCGGCATATCTGATGATGTGACTCGATCATTGGTGGAAGCCTACCAGAAAGACCCTGTCCCGATGGACATCATGTGCAAACTAGAGGCTAAAGACAAGGTCACTGAAGAAGAGTTTGTCATGGTGGATGGGCTGTTATTTCTGAGTAAGGCTGGAGTAGAAAGGTTAGTTATTCCATCTAGGGAAGATTTGCATAGTTTATTTTTGGGGGAATGTCATGACGCAACTGGGCACTTTGGCTGCAAAAAGACTAGTGCTAATCTAGTACAACGATTTTGGTGGCCTGGTATGTTAGATGATGCAAAAAGGTACGTTCAGACCTATCAGGTCTGTCAACGGGACAAGCCGAGGACTCAAGCCCCGCTTGGGTTGCTAAAGCCTCTACCCATTCCTGCTGGTCCGGGACAGAGTGTTTCCATGGACTTCATGGACACCCTTGTCACCAGCAAGAGTGGCAAGAGGCATATCTTCGTCCTCATCGACAGACTCACCAAGTACGCTAGACTAATCCCTATGCCAGTGACTGCGAGGACTGAACACGTCATCAAGTTGTTCATGGACAACTGGGTGCGTGATTTTGGATTGCCAAAGTCAATCGTTGGTGACATAGATCTCCGCTTCACAAGTGAGCGGTGGAAGAAGACTGCAGAGCAAATGGGCAGTCAACTTCAGATGACTTCAGGGAATCATCCTGAAGCAAATGGATAGACCGAGCAGATCAACAGGGTTGTACAACACTTGCTGCGGCATTACATCAAGCCCAGCCAAGATGACTGGAATGAGAAATTGCCTCTCATCGCCAGCCTGTACAACAACGCTGTGCACAGCAGTACCGACATTAGTCCTAACCAGCTACACTTGGGATGGAAGCCTAGATCAGCTCTAGACTTCCTCCTGCCTGAAAACCAACCTGCGGCAACTCCCGGTTCTATTGAGTACGGGGTGCAGTATGAGAAACTGTTGCAGCAAGCTGTCGAGCACATCAAGAAATCTCAAGAAGCAATGATTGCTTCTGAGAACAAGCATCGTCGACAGTCCACATTTCAGTTAGGGGAAGTTGGGGAACGTGTCTGGGTCAAGGCTAGTGAGCTAGGACAGGAATTCGGGATCTCTAGAAAACTAATGCCACAATATTTCGGTCCCTGGGAAGTCTTGGATGTAGTGGGGGATGAATTGGATGGTCCTTCTTATGTTATCTGTATCCCTGGTCACCTGCACACTTACCCAGTCTTTCACGCCTCAAAGCTTGCACCTTTCGTTGAGACAGATCAATTTCCTTCACGGAGATCGATGCTGCCCCCAACCATGGATGGCCACGTGGACGTCGATGACATTCTGGAGCACAGAGATTTGCCTGTTCTAAGACCTCTGGGCAAAGGGAGACCTCCGAAACCCAGACGAGAGTACAGGGTCAGATTCAGGCATCACACCGATCCTAAAGAAGATCGTTGGTTCACTAGAGAGGAGCTAATTGAGACAGCACCTCAGGTGGTGGCTGAATACGAAAGACATCTCAAGGGGAAGGCACCTGCGAAGTAAGCATCTTAGCGGACTTTTGAAGCTAAGGGGGATGGAATGTGAGGATTGAGCCTTCAAGGGGCCTTGCCAACACGCACATGTACTGGCCTAACGCCCTAGCAAGCCTCGTGCCCGCCCTAAGTGAAGGCATGCCTGCAAATCTACGAGAGGCCCTGAATACAACATTTTACGAAGTGGGGTCTCGACAGTTGCCGCACGCCAGTTGGTTGGAGTGCACGAAGCCCAAAGCTCTGCAAATGCAGAATGCCCAGGGCTGCCTGGGTTGGTTAGGCCCTGGGCGTGATATTCGTGAGGCCGACAATGCACACTGAATGCAGAGGCCGAAAGTGCCAATGCGAAACTGGCCCGGTATCTGAATCTGGACGCGGCCTCTGAACTAAGGGGCACAACTATATGAACTGGGCCCCTATCTGCATTGGGCCTGGGCGCAAATACTGGGACCCAGGCGCAGCATCAAGGGAGGCCGCTCACTCGCAAGCAGGATATACGCAGGGCATGCGAGGCACATGGTACATTCGGCCATTGCGAGCAATGCTGGCACGCTGCTGCGCTGCTGCTGGCTTGCGGTGCGCTAACGATGGGTTGAGCAGGCTAGCGCTAAAGGTAGGGCGCAACTTGCCATTTGGCGGCAGCGACCATAGCCGGGCTGCTGAGTGGGCGCCAGGAGGAGGTGAGGGTGATGGTGGTCTTCGGGTATGTGAAGGCGCTGTGTGGGTAGAGGAGGAGAGTCGGGTGAAGGAGGACGTACCTGGTGAAGAGGAGGTCGGCATTGGTGTCGACGTCATCACTGGCTGTTCGTCAAGTTGTCTGGATGCGGTCATGCATTGTAGTTGTAGGATAGCTGTAGAGTAGGTAGGGCGCCTGGCGCCATCTCAACAAAGAGCTACATTGGATATTGTTGTTGGTGTAGCCCGATTGGGCATGGACATTGACTCACGATCTGCTGTATTGTTCTCAAATGGATGGTTCTTTGGCTACGCTTTGCTATCTGCTCTCGGTTTGATTACTTGGAATTCAGTGTGACTTTGCAATTTGGATTTTTGTGCTTCGTCCACTTTCATGTTCCTTGCACAGGGGGAAAGCTGATTGATTTTATCTTGGTTAAAGGGGGGACAGAGCAGCTTGGAGGGATTGATAAATCTGGCAATCCTAGGAAGGATTGAAGAGGTTTTTTTGTTCCCCCTTGTTTTAGGATTACTGAAGTAATATTCGGTCACTCCAGGTAGACTGTGAGGACCCCGGCCTCAATCTTCTTAGTGGAAATATCAGCCTTGGGCACTGAGCCCGTTTTTTGGGGGAAAAAAAAAAAAGCCAACCACATAAAGAGTGAGCTGGGTACAACATGTGAACAAAAAATTGCTGAGATATAGAGACTTTTTCTAAAGTAGTACTTTTTTCTATATCCATGTGATTAACCAAAACGCCGCGGCTGGCCTCATGGTACTTTCATCAATAGGATGATCAAAATCGAATGAATCTATCGCTATGACGTGGAAATATACACTGCCACACTTGTTTTTGTTTTTCTGTGTGTGTGTGTGTGTGTGTGTGTGTTGTGTGTGTGTGTGTGTGTGTGTGTGTGTGTGTGTGTGTGTTGTGTGTGTGTGTGTGTGTGTGTGTGTGTGTGTGTGTGTGTGAGAGAGAGAGGGAGACTCCGAGAGAGAGAACAGGTAAGTCTCCAAAGTCGCGGCTGGCCTCATGGTACTTCCATCGATACGATGAGCAAAATCGAATGAAGCTACTGCTAGAACGTGGAAATATACACTGCCACACTTGTTTTTGTGTGTGTGTGTGTGTGTATGTGTGTGTATGTGTGTGTGTGTGTGTGTGTGTGTGTGAGAGAGAGAGAGAGAGAGAGAGAGAGAGAGAGAGAGAGAGAGAGAGAGGGAGAAAAAAAAAAAAAAAAAAAAAAAAAAAACCGATATTATTGACCCCTCCCACATTTCGCTTTTTTTTTTCTTTGTTGATTCTGGAGGGGGATGCCATGCGCACCCCGATTTGCGCACCCCGATTTCGGGCGCGCGGCTCCGCCTATGCGTGGCGCGGCCTCGGCCGTGGGGTCGCAGCCGGCCTCCTCGGCCGCAGGATCTGCGATCGTGGGGGTCACGTAGATTGTTACCACTGACGCAAGCCAATCTGGCTTCGGCGCAGTGTCGGCTCAGCAGGAAGGGAAAAAGTTGAGGTCGATCGAGTCTATTAGTGAGAAGATACCATCTAAGAAGTTGACGAAATCCACTTACGAAAAGGAACTCTTTGCCCTTTACAAGGCCCTTGCCCACTAGAGGCACTATCTGTTGGGAAGGTTCTTCTTCTTGAGAACTGCCCATTAGACACTCACGTGGATCAAGACACAGCCCATTCTCTGAGACACACTTAAACGCTGGATAGAGGTCATAGATCAGTATGACTTCAAGCTAGACTATGTGAAGGGAGAGTACAAGGTTGATGCGCTCTCGTGTAGGGCATATTACCTAGGTGCGCTAATTACTGAGCTTGGCTTATCTGATGATGCAACTCAATCTTTGGTGGATGCCTACAAGCAAGATCCCGTCAGGATGGACATCATATGCAAACTAGAGGCCAACTACAAGGCTACATCTGATAAGTTTGTGATGGTGGATGGGTTACTCTTTCTTGAAAAGGCATCGTTTAAAAGACTGTGTGTGCCTTCTAGCGAGAATCTGTGTAGTTTATTTTTAGAAGAGTGTCATAATGCGAAAGGGCACTTCGACTATAAGAAGACTAGTTGTAACTTAGTGCAACGATTCTGGTGGCCTGGCATGCTTGACGATGCAAAGAAGTACGTCCAAAGTTACCGAGTATGTCAGCGGGATAAGCCGCGAACTCAAGCACCACTTGGGTTACTCAAGACCTTGCCCATTCCTGCAGGTCCGGGACAGAGTGTCTCCATGGATTTCATGGATACCCTCGTGACCAGCAAGAGTAGCAAGCGGAACATCTCCGTTCTAGTAGTCAGGTTTACTAAGTATGCTAGACTTATTGCCATGCGAGAGACTTCGAGGACTGAACACGTCATCAAGTTATTCATGGATAACCGGGTGCGTGAGTGTGGACTACCCAAGTCTATAGTTAGTGACAGAGATGTCCGATTCACAAGCAAAAGGTGGAAGAAGACTGTTGAGCAAATGGGCAGCCAACTCCAAATGATTTCGGGGAATCATCCCAAAGCCCACAACCAAGCAGAGCAGATGAACTGTGTGGGGCAGCATCTGCTGAGGCACTATATTAAGCCCAGCCAGGGTAACTGGGATGAGAAATTGCCTGTCATCGCCAATCTGTACAACAACGTTGTTTACAACACCATAGGTGTGTGTCTGAATGAGCTGCATTTCGGGTGGAATCTTAGATCTGCGCTAGACTTCCTCCTTCCTGAAAACCGACCAGTTGCGACACCTGGAACCATAGAGTTTGATGTCCATTATAAGAAGCTGTCGCAACAGACTGTCGAGTACATTAAAAAATCTCAAGAGGCAATGATCGCCGCTGAGAACAAACACAGAGGACAATCCACATTTCAGGTAGGGAAACTTGTCTAGGTAAAGGCTAGTGAATTGGGTCAGGAATCTCCAGGAAGCTAATGATGCAGTACTTCGGTCCTTGGAAAGTTCTAGATATTGTGGGTAGTGATTTGGATGGTCCCTTGTACGTGATAAGAACCCCTGATTCCCTGGTCATCTATGCACTTACCCTGTATTTCATGCTTCCAAGCTTGCACCTTTTGTTGAGACTGATCAGTTCCCATCAGGGAGATCAATGCTGCCCGCAACCATGGATGGCCATGTGGATGTCGACGACAGCTTGGAACGTAGAGACTTGCCTGTTCCTAAGCTTGTGAGCAGGGGAAGCCCGCCAAAACCTTTGAGGGAGTATTGGGTCAGATTCAGGCATCATACAGATCCGAAAGATGATGGTTGGTTCACACGAGAGGATCTCGTCAGAACAACACCTCAGATCGTGGCAAACCCAGACAGAGTATAAATGAAAGTTGGGGAAAGCACTTGCATTGAAGCATCTTAGTGAACTTTCGAAGCTAAGGGGGAAGGATTGCGAGAACTTAGCCCCCGCAAGGGCCCTTCTCGGGCATGCCAACATTCTGGGCTCAGGCCGCAAGCAAGCCTCTTGCCCACCCTAAGTGGAGGTCGGCCTGAATATCCACATGAGGCCTATTTTGGACTTTTTTCGTATGTTGGGTATCGGACAGTTGGAGCACGCCAATTGGTTACATAGCAACGTGAGCCTTCTTGGCTCCTTCCAGAAGCAGCATCTGCGTCGTGCAGTTGAGCCCAGGGCTAATTCGGTTGAGGCCCTGGGCACAGCCATCCAGAGGCCCACAAGTCACATAGCGCCTGCCGGCCGCGGACCAATGAGAAAGCAGCATCGTTGTCACACACATGCCGCCAGCCAATAAGATCGCAGGAAACACTTGGAGCCTGGATGATGGGGGCACTGAAAGTTGTGGGCCCTTGTAACTGTCTGAAGGGCCCAGGGTGCAAACACTATGGCGCAGCACGAAGCTACTGGGCCCCAAGCCCAACATGTCAAGCATAGGCCGAAGCAGGGTGCAGTTTCCATAAAGGAAAGTGCCTGCCCCAGCCTCAAGCCCTCAGGCATTACGGCCTGTCGGCATTGCGGCCACACTGCTGCTATGTCGAGTGAGTGTTGTTTAGCGCTTGGAGGCTGGGGCGCACACGGGCGCTTAGAGGTGAGAGGGGCACTGCAGGGGCAGCGGGCGCACGGCGGTCAATGTCGGTCATAGTCGGGCTGCTGGGCGCATGCATGGTGATGGTGATGGTGGTCTTCGGGTAGGTCCTGGAGCCGCATGCAGAGGGGAGACAGGGTGTGATGAGGGGAGGAGAGAGAGAACGTACCTGGTGTATGCTGGTGGTCTGCCTTGGTTTTGACATCACGTACATTGGTCTTCAACTTTGATGTGATCCTATTGCAAGAACGTACTAGATAGGTTGGATAGACTAAGTAGTGTAGGTTGGGCGCTTGGCGCCCGACAATAGGAGCGACATTGGATACTATGTTGGTGTGGCCGGAGAGCATCAGCATTGACATTTGAGTTCATTATATTGCTCTTATTTGGACACATGCTAGGGGTCAGAGTCTATGAATCCCCCGCAGCGGCGGCCGTGGCCGCGGACCTTGCGGCGGCCAGTCAGGGAAGGGTGCGGGGGGGGGG